TTTAGGAAGAAAAAGATTAATAAGATAAAGTATTACTATTTAAGTAAGAATTATAGAAATATGATTTTTAGATTGAATAAGAATATAAAAATAAAAAAAATAATGAAGAATAATAAAAAAATTGTAAGGGAATTATTATAAAAAGGCCTATTATAAAAACAAGAAATAATATGATAATAAAATCTTAAATATTAAAAGAAAATTAAATTAACTTATAATTGTAAAGTCAAATTAATAATAAAATTTAAATTAATGATTGAACAAAAAAAAAAAAAAAAAAATATTTTTTATTTAGTTTCTTTTTTTTCTTTTGTTTTTTTTTTTAAATTTATATAATATATATATTTTTTTTTTATATTAAATATAAATTAATTAATTAATTTTAAATATTTATAAGTATTTTATAAAAAAATTTTAAGAAATACAATAAGTATATTATTATAATTAAAATAAAATAATACTTGTATATTCAAAATATTATTTTTTTATAAAGAACATATACTATATTTATATTATTATAACCGTTTTTGTTATTTTTTATATTTTAAATATAATTTAATGGGGAAAATACATATAAAAAGTATTATTTTTTATTTTTATTTAAAATTATTATTTTCTTTAATAAAAATTATTTTAAATATATGTTTTTATAAATTAAATTGATAATTCTTTTATATAGAATCATAATTATTATTAAATAAAAATAATGAAATAAATTATAAAATTAAATATTTTAAAAAAATTAAATCAATATTAATAAATATATATATTTATTTAATTTATATATATTAGTTTTTTTTTATTTTATTTATAATATAATTAATTTTATATCTTATTATATTAAATTTATTAAATTGTTATTTATTTTTAATTATATATAACTATAATTTTTTTTAAAAATAAATAATAATTATTTACAATCAAAATGTTATTAATATTTTTTAAAGTAATTTTTTATATAAAATTTTATATAATGAGATAATATATTATAAATAAAATATATTTATTTCTTATTTATTTTCTTCAATATAAAAAAAAAATAATTAAATAATAAAAAATAAATCCGTTTATATTAAAACAAAACAAAAAATAAGCAAATTTTAATAAAAAATACAACAAAATAAGTAAATTTTATTTCTTTTTTTCATTAAAAAAAATATATATATTTGTTAAATATTTAAATTAAAAGATCAATGTTATATGTAAAAATTAAGTATATAATTATATAGTATAGAAAATAAGAAATCCTAAAGGTTATAGTATTTGTACTAAAGGAGATATGTTTAGATATTAATGATTAAGAAGTTTTCGAAACTATTGATATGAATAGAGATGGTTTAATATGATATGATGAAATAATAGATAGTATTATTATTTAAAATACATATACATATAAATTTTTCAAAGTTATTTTAATTTATTTTAAAAATTTAATATATTAAAAAAAAAAAAAAATCAATTATTATTTTATATGAAAATAAAATCTAGAAATTTTATATATAAACTATAATTATAAAAATAGAAATAATAAATATAAAAAAACAATTAAAAATAAATAAAAAATACATATGAACACAGACAATTTAATAAGACCCAAAATATAAGTCGAAAGAGTTAGTAATATGACAGGTTCGACTGCAGGAGCAGGAAGTGGAGAATTTCATAATTATAGTTTACATAAATCAAGGGAAAAAGCCAGATTAGCATAAATGGATTTCGAATTTAAAGAAGTAAATAATAAAAAAATTATTAATTATATATATTATAATAAAAAAGGAAAAAAGAAGAAAATAATTTGAAGATTTAAGGAAAAAATAAGAATAAATAAGTGAATCAATAACTGAAAAAAAGCGTAAAAAAAGGCAATAAAAAAAGGAAAATTTAAAAAATAAGAAACAATTGAAAAAATTAAAAGAAGAAGCTTCAAAATTAAATAAATATAAAAGTGATGGAACTTTTTTGGAATAATTTATGAAATAAAAACAATAAGAATAAAAATAAGAAAATAAAATGGAAGACTAAACGTATTAAAAACAAAGTTAAAACAGTAGCAACTCATCAGAAAGTGAAAATGAATAATAAAAAAATTAAATAGAGCCTTAAATACAAAAAAAAAAAAAATTAAATTGATAATATGCATTTATTATTTTATTTATATTATAAAATATATAAGCAATATATATAAATATTCTTATAAAATATATATAATATATAAATATGTATAAATTTATAAATATATATTTATATTATAAATTATTTATTATTAATTATATTTACATATATTTTTTTTATATTATCATTTTTATTATATATTTTTTTTTATTTTCTTTCTTTCTACCATTATTTTTTTTTTTATAACAATTGTCCTATAATATATATATATATATAATTCAAAATTTTTTATTTATTTAAAATATTATTAAGAAAAATAACTTATCCTAATATTTTTTATATATAATATATACATAATATAAATTAATACAAATGTATCAAAAAAACCAATAAATACCATAAGTATCATTATAGACTTTTAAATAAATAAAATTTCAATAAAATTTCTAGAATGATTAATTTTACCCAAATTAAACTCATAAAAGTCTTCCAAAACTTAATTAAAATCGAATATATACAGCAGCTGAAACTCTTAAAAATTAATTTATTTTAAAAAACTTAAAATTAAATATAGGTTCATTAAATGAATTTTTAGACCAAGAAAAAAATTTTTAAATAATAAATTATAGGCAACGATAAAAAAAGTACAAAAATAAAAACTTAAATATATATATATATATATAGAAAAAAAATACAAGATGATGATGAAGATAAAGATTATTATTTAAAAAAATCAAAATATAGTAATCCAATAGAAGTTTTTTTTATTTTTTTTATATAAAAATAAAATAAAATAAAAAAGACCTTAAAATATGAAGAAGATTAAAAAAAAAGATAAATTGCTGCCAAATCAATAGTATAATAATTATTTATATAAAATTATGGAGAAGATGTAGACAAAATAGAAGAATAAAATTAAAAAAATATTTAAAAATTAAAAAATTAAGAAGATGGTATAGAAATAGATTATTAAAGTAAAATATTATTATTTTTATATAAACCAAAACAACTTAAATAGTATAATTATTCATGAAAAAAAATTTAAAAAAAAACTTTCGAGAAAAACTTAAATTATATGAAGACAGTTTATACGAAAAATCATTTCTAAATGAAAATAAAGTGCCCATATAGACCACAAAAACCTTTATACACAAATCAAAAATACCAGAAAATTAAAATATTAAGATAAGATAACGCCATATGGCCACTATATTAGTCAGTTAAGACGATTTTTCTCAATCAAAAACAATAAATTAGCATTAAATATAAGAAGATATACAAGAAATAAGTCGAATAAACGATGAAATGAATAAAAATTCGCAAGAAAACATAAATAAATATATATTAACAAATAATAATAGTAAAGATAACACTAAATCATAGATTATAATATAAAAAAAATAAGAATCAAGCAATATTAAATAAAATAGTAAATTTAGCCAAGAAATATAAAAGTCACCAAAAATAAAACAAAATGCATAAGAAAGAAGATTACATTTTATTTAAAAATTAAATATAAGATATTAAGATATTATGCAATTATGGAAAACATATGGAGGAGAAAATGAAAGTCAAATTTAACAAAATAATAAAATTTATACAGATTATATAGAAAATCATTAAAAATATATACAAAATTATTAAAAAAAAGTACAAAATTTTTACTATTGGATAGATAGAAAAAGAAAAATAGGGGCTAATGATTAAGATTTAGATGATTTTTAAAACTAATATTAAATAGTTCCAAAAGAAGAAATACTTATATATGAAGAAAAATAAATTATTATTTGGAATATAAAATTAGACGAATATTTTATGATGTATATTTCTATAAATTTTCATAATTTTGGAAAACTATAAGTATTAAAAAATTATATGTTATATATTTATATATTTATATATTTATATATTTATATATTTTTTTTTGTTCATAGAGATTAGAATTAATAAATAATAAATTAAATGAAGAATCTCTATTGCTTTTATTAGAAATAATTTTATTTGAAAAAGCTGATTTAAAAATTTTAAATCTTAGTTTTTCTAAAATAGATAATAGATGCTTTAATATTATCTGCAAAATTATATAAAATTAAAATATTGAGGTTTTAAATTTAAGAAAAGTAGAATTAAATACTAAATAATTCTGTTAAATTTGTGTTTTTTTAGCTTAAAAGTAATGTATATAAGATCTTGATGTTGCCGAAAATTTACTTGATATTAGAGCTTTAGAAAGTATAAAAACAATTTTGAGATATCTTAAAGGACTTTATAGACTTAATACTACTAAAAATAATATTCCGGAAAACAAATTAAAGGAACTAAAGAAATAATTATAGGATTAAATTAAAAATAAAGATATTATTTTATTTTGATTATTATTTTCAAATTAAACATATTAACTTTTTATGATAGATATAATACAAATTTAATTAGAGATATTTATTTAAATTAAACAAATATATATATTTAAAATTTTTTATATATTAAATACTTAAAAAATATTTATTATAAACTATTTTTTTATTTAAAAAAATTATAATATTACAATTTAAAATATAATATTTTTTTTTTTTGATATTTATTTGATTATTTTTAAAAAATATATAGTATTTTTAATAAAACATATTTAACAAAAATTACTTAATTAAAATATATAATAATAAATATTTTTTATTTTAATAAAAAAGTTAAATATATATAATATAAAATAGATTATTTTTGTTTTATTATCTTTATTTTTATATATATATTAAAAAAAAAAATAAGACTTTCTTTTTTTTTCCTTTTTTTTTTTTCTTCTTTTATTATTAAATTTTTACTTCATCCATTATTAATTTAGAAAAAAAAAAAATATATTTCCTCTTAAAAAATAAAAACAAAAAAAATATTCATAAAGAATCACAGCTAAAATCTATTAAAAAATAAAACAAAAAATAAAAAAATATATACCATCTAAATGTAAAATATCATCCCCATCTTCTTCATCAAAAATAATAGCATTTACATCTATACAACTATATTTTTTATCAAAATTTGAAATATCTGACGCTTTTTTAACTTAAGGTATATAGAAAGCCTTTTAACTTTACTAAGAAATCTCATTCCAATTACATGAACTTAACCACGGATGACTTTTTACTTCTTAAATATTAATTCTATATTCTTATTTCTTTTCGAGTAATTTTTTCAATAAATCTTTTAAATAATTAGATATTTTTTTCGTTTAAAGATCTGGTTCTTTATATAAAATAAAATCAAAAAGTATTTTTTAATTAAAATCATAAAAAGGAGGATTTCCGGTAATTAATTCATAAATTAAGCATCCCAAAGCCCATATATCAACAGGCTTTCCATGCGCTTTTTTAAGAATAAATTCAGGTGCCATATATTAAAAAGTTCCACAAAACGAATTAGTAGTCACATTATCATCCATATGTTATTTTGAATAACCAAAATCAGCTAATCTTATATATCCGTTTTTATCAATTAATATATTTTCAGGTTTTAAACTATATATATATTTATATTATATGTATATATAATTTTTTTTTTTTGTACTCTCTGTATATAATACTATTATTATGTAAAAATTCCAAGGCCAAAACAATTTAAGATATATAAAAACGAGCTTCGCTTTCATTAAAAAATACTTTTTTTTATAAAAAATTAAATAAATCACCACCTGGGCAATAATCTAATATTAAAAATAATTTCGATGAAGTTTAAAATGTATAATGTAAATTTGTTATAAACTAATTGCTTTTACAACTAATTAATGCATTTTTTTCTTAAAATACACGTCCTTAATATTGTCGCTTTTTTGTATATTATTTACTTAATATTTTCATAGCGTAATGTTTACCAGTTATTTTATGTCTACAAAGAAGAACTTTGGCAAATTTACCTTCACCTATCATACTTATGGGAATAAATGTTTCTAATTAAGTGGATGATTTACAAGATGATGTTTAATGGTTTAATTTTATATCCATTTTTTTTATTTTATATTTATAAATATTTTATATAAATTACTTATTAAGATTATTTTAATTTTTATGTATTTTTTTGATTTTTTTTTTTTAAAAATAGACTAGAAAATTATATTATGGGAATTTTTTTTATTTTTTAGATTATTATCTAAAAAAAAAAAAAAAAATACAAAGAAAAAAAAAAATTATAAAAA